AGGAGATTTGCCCTGCACGCAGGAGGTGCCACACCAGGACTGATGGGAAGGTTTTTCAATTTCTTAAAGCAAAACGCAAGCCAGCATTCTTTTCCAGGAGGAACCCTTGGTACACAAACTGGACTGTCCACTACAGAAGGAAACACGGAAAGGTACAATCGGGAGAAATTCAGAAGAAAAGAGCCTGCCATGGTCAGTTCCAGAGGGCCACCGCGGGTGTTAATCTTGCTCATTTAACAAGCAAGGGGAAGCAGAAACCTGAAGTTAGAAAGGCCCAGTGAGAACAGGCTTTCTGGGCCGACAATGAAGGAAAAAGGAAGCAGGCATCTGAAAGGACAGAAATGGCTGCTGCTAAGACTCCCACAAAGGCATCTCCTAAGCAAAAGATTGAGAAGTCTGGGAAAGTTTCCGCCCTACTCGCCCCTGCCCCCAAGTTGGTGGGCAATGCTAAGTTGGCAAATGAGACTTTAAATGAAAATCAAATTGTTGAACATACAATAAGAATTCACCAATGAAAACTCTGATCAGGGTGCATCAAAAAGTGAATGAGGGCAGGGGTGGGTAGGTTAGCATTGAACACCTTATCATTTGATCTCCCTTTTGTTCTTGTTTTCAATATTTTCTGCTTTCTCTTTGGGAGACATTGTTCTCTGTCTCCGTTTGTTATTATTGTTAGCTTTGTCTTTGTTTCATGGTATACAAAATCCATAACGGGTGGATCTATAGAGACAGTAACTGGATTAATGGTTTCTTGGGGTATGGCAGGGGAGGTTGGGGGGAAATCAGTTGCTAATAAGGAGTACCAGAAAGAAAATGTTCTAAAATTGATCATGGTAATGATTGTACAACTCTTCTTGATATGACTGAACTATTGAATTGTATGGTGTGTGGATCATGTGCCAATAAAACTGTTTGAATGAAGAAGAAAACTGAGCACAATAGACTATTGCTGATGCAGTACTAGAAAATGAGCCCCTTTTGGAGTGCTAACCTTATTCCCCCCAAAACCAAACTCACCGCCATCAAGTCGATTTTGACCCACAGAGACCCTGCAGGGCAAGGGAGGACTGCCCTGTGGGTTTCTGGGATTATAACTCTTCGTGGGAGTAGAAATCCTCATCTTTCTCCCTCAGAGCTGCTGGTGGTTTGGAACTATTGAACAACAAATGCATAGCCCACTACACCTTATATAGGCCCCAAACGGAGTCACTCATTAGCACACCAAAGCCTAACTAGTTTCTCTGCCCTGCAGATGCCTGACATTCACAGAAGCCCAAACCTCCATTGATCAGTTGACTCTTTTGGAAAGGGAAACTTAAGCTAGCCAATTAAGATTTGCCTGCTCACTTTAACCCAGTTCAAAATTTCCCCTTTATCCCTGCCAGCCGACCCACGTTTTGCCCCCCTTGTTCCTGTGTGTCTGTTCAGAATGCTTGTCTAGCTTCCAAACCCAGTGTTCCCAAATTATAAATTGAAAAGGAAAGCTTATGAGTTCATACACAAATTTAATATTGTGAAATTTTAAATTTTTTCACAATGGGGAGGTACCCCAAATATACAATAACTACAACAATGGGTTCAAATATGAAATGATCCTGGAAATGGTGCATGCAGATGACACGCACCTTCTGTTGGAGCCAACTGGAGGGCAACCAGCCACAGTAGTAAGTGCTTCACAACTACTTAAGGAGCCCTTGTGGCACCAGGAGGAGCCCTGGTAAATTGGGCTGCTAATTGCAGGGTCAGCAGCTTAAAACCACCAGCCCCTCTGGGAGAGAAAGATGAAGCTTTCTATCCATGTAACGACTCATAGTCTATGCTGATATCAAGGAGCTCAAGGAGGAATAAAATGTTTTAAAACTGATTGTGGTAGCAATTAAACAATACTGTTTGATGTGATTGAACTATGGTATGGTCTCTCTTGTATTAGCTCCCAATAAAATGGTATTGAAAAAAAAATGTCTTGGAAGCCCACAGGGGCAGTCCTCCACTGCTCTATAGTGTCAGTATGTGTTAGAATCAATTCAATGACAGTGAGTTTGGTCTTTGGTTTTGGTTTGGGCTACCAACTGCAAGGGCGGCAGTTCGAATCCACTAGCCACTTCCATGGTAGAAAATGAAACTTTATGCTCTCTTAAGATTTGTTGTTGTCAGGTGCCCTCCAGTCATTTCCCACTCCTATCAACCCTGTGCACACAGGCCCAATCACTGGTAGTCCTGCACCATCCTCACAATTGTCTTATGTTTGGGCCAATCATTGTAGCCACCATGTCGATCCATCTTGTGGAAGGCCTTCCTCTTTTTCGCTGCCTCTCTGCTTTACCAAGTATGATGTCCTTCTCCAAGCACTGTTCTCTCTGACAACATGCTGGTTGTATTTCTTCCAAGACAGATTTGTTGGTCCTTTTGGCAGTCCATGGTACTTTCGATCTTCTTCAGCACCACCATATGCAGTTCTCCTATGGTCTTCCATATTCAACGTCAACTTCCACATGCATATGAGGCAATTGAAACTACCGTGGCTTGAGTCAGGCGTGCCTTAGTCCTCAAAGTAACCCCCTTGCTTTTCAGTACTTTCAAGAGGTCTTGTGCAGCAGATTTACCCATTGCAATGTGTCCTTTGATCTCTTGACTGCTGCTTCTGTGAGAAAGAGCAGTGAGTCAAACCCACCAGACACTCTGAGGGAGAAAGATGAGCCTTTGTGCTCCCATGAAGAGTTACAGTCTCAGAAACCCAAAAGGGTATTTCCACTATGTCCTAAAGGTTCACCGTGAGTTGGCATCGACTTGCTGCCAGTGAGTGAGACGATTATACCGGTAGTTGTTAGTTATCTGGGTTGACACAGGTTCCTAGAGCCAACTCCAATCTCCTGGCTCTGTTTAGGTGTCAGGAGTGGTCACTGTTACCATTACCTCATCTGTCCCTCTCAGGAACCCTGCTGGCACTTCCTCCTTTGACTTGTGTCCTCCTGCTGCTCTTAAGCTGGACTAAATAGAACAACCGATCTTTGACTTTTGTTAACGGTTCAACAAAACTGTATTTGCTTTGTTTTAAAACTGGCAGTTCCATGCCTAATACTGCCTATGTTATAAAGAGGAAATGTAGGGTTGGAGTGGGTAACTCGATGACAGTGAGTTTGGTTTCGTGGGAACTTCTGCACCAGAGCTTAAATTCTGAACACAGAACACAAACCTGGACACAGGTTTGCAGCAGACTGGATAGCAGCGAAAGCCCCAAATCCATTTTCAGAATCTTCACTTGGATTGTCTCCTTTGAATTCCTTCTGACCATTAACAAAGAATGTGAACAGCCTTGTCCTCAAGCAGATGCAGTAGAAAGTGGATTATCTCCATGCTCCCTGGGAGGGTCAGTCAGTCTCTTGTAAGGGCTTTGTTCGGCGTGTTCTTGATGGGGATGGGGTACTGGTGTCCCATAGTCAAAATCCTATCTTGACTGCTTTGGTAGGAGGTCCCAGAACCTATCTTGTAAGCTCTAACATAATACATATGCTCCAATAATGATCTCATTCCCATCTCCGTAGTGCTGCCAATCATGTTGCTCTGTCGCCAGTCATGTGTCTGTGAGTTTCCTTTGTCCTCTCATGTCCTATGTAAGCCATCGGCTCTCTGTCAATCCGTGAACACCAGTACCACCTTGTGCTAACGGTCTCTCTCCTCTTGGTCTTTGTCTTGCTTAAGATTTAATAAGTGTCCTCCTTGAATTACATTTGAGATTTGGGGGCTCTCTCCTACCCTAAAACCCTTCTTACCATGCACCTTCTAACCAAAACATTAAGAAGAACCTGGGCCCAGCTGCTTGGATTTAAATCTCAAAGAGTCCATTTTCAGCCCTGTAACTTTGGGATCAAGACTGCTCCTCTCTGTGTTTGTTTTCTTCTCTGAAAAACAGTGACAATGATAACACGCCCTTACCTCGGTTACGGGGTTCTGTGAGGGTTAAGTTAGCACTATTTTTGCAGAGGTTGGCACAGTGCCTGGCACATACATAGCAAGCACTCTATAAACTACTATCCCGTTCCTTGCACTAGGCGTGAAAATCTCCGCTCATGGCCGCGAGGACTGTGGTTTCCTCCCCATCTCGGGTTCTCTCTTGAGTAAAACATGCCTCCACACAAAAAACTCCTTTGTCTATTAATATAGTGCAATGGGACAGAGCAAGAAACTTAATAAAGGACCTTATTATAACGCCAAGCAGGTAGTGGACGAGCGACTGACCTCAGGGGTGGCTGCCCCTCTTACAATCTCCCCACGTCACTGAGACTGGCACTGGAGTGTGACATTACAGGACACATTGTTTGTTTGGGGTTTTGTTTCCTTCTTTCTTTTTTCCCTGGGGTGGAGGCTCCCAGCTGAGGAGCGCCGCTGTGATTTAGCCTTCCGAAAATAGTGCCTCTGGAACCTTCGGACAGGCAGGTGCGCGGCCCAGGAGCGAGCGGGGTGGGGGCGGCCCGACAAACAGTCCCTAAAGCAATCCCGGCGGGGGAGCGGGAAATTCCACCTTGTCAAGAGTCTAGGGAGCGGCCCCCAGGGCGCTCCAGGAAGCCCGAGAGAGGAAATCCCCAGTGCCGGTCCCCACCCACCCCACCCACCCCGACCCCCGCTCCACGGAGCAGTCGCCTGTGTTAACAGGACCCTGGCAAATGAGGGTGCACTGAAGGGCTGTCGTCTCAGCGATCCAGGCGGTCCAACTCCGGCCAGCACGGTCAGAAGCCACACGCCCCTGCGCCCGCGTGGGGGTCGGGGTGCGGCGCCCGAGCGGAGCGCCGGCCGCCCGCAGTGGGCGTGGCCTGCCCCCCCCCGCGGGGGCGGCGGCCCCTTTAAGAGCGTCTCGCGGACCCACGTGCCGCGAGGACGTCAGAGCAGGAAGTGTTTGAGGAAGTCGCGCTCCGCGGACTGGTGTAGGATTCCCGCATTTTCATGCCTTCGGGGTGGTGTCCGAGCCCCCAGTTTTGCCGCCCCAGCCCCCACCTCCCCCGCCCCGGGGAGCCTCTCCCCTGCCCCGCGTCCCCGCCGACAGGTGAGTCTCCCCAGCCGGAGGTCGCGCGAAGCCCCTCGGTGCCCGCCTGCAGACCCCGCTGCTGCTGTGCCCCATCTCCTCTCCTGTAGCGACCGATGGCCAGTTTACAAATCGGGGTCCCCGGGCACGGAGTGCCGATTGATCGGCGTTGGGAGGCCCTGGGAAGCGGCCCTGGCCAGAGTGGCTTTCAGGTGGCTGCTTAGAGTGATGGCGGTGTGGGAAAGCCGAAATCAGTTCACTGTGCTGCGGCCTCGAGAATGCCCCAGGTTGACGTGCCTCTTGTTGGGGTCCAGGCGGTGGACCCGCGTTTGGAGGTTACGCGGCGTCACTGCTCTGGAGTGACTTTCCTCCCTACTTACTTCCTTCCACAACTGGAGGAGGGCAGGCGAGAATGATACAAGGTTACCCACCCACCCCCCAAAAAGTAAACCCCAAACCATCGTTTATTTACCAAATAAAAATCAGTTCAGTCTTTTTCTTCTCTCATGTTGAAAGGCCAAGCCGATGCCACACCTTCTCCATCTGCTTGAGCAAGAACCTGTCCCGTTTTTTGTTTTAATCTTAACCATAACCCTTTGTCCCCCCACCCCACCCCAAATTACTTACAGAGTTAGTGCAACCTCAGTATGAGCTGGTCACCTTCCCTGCAAACTCAGACATGTGGGGCCTGGGAAATGAAGGAACGACTTGGGACAGGGGGATTTGGAAACGTCATCCGATGGCACAACCAGGTAGGGGCTCCAAGCGGCCTTGGAAGAGGTAGGGGAGGGGAGGGCAGGGCCGGGTGAGGGTGAGGGTAAGGTCATCTTCGGTCTCAGGGCACCTGTGAATTTCTGCCCCTCGCTGTTCTGGTTTGGTCTGCGGCTTTTCCTTTTGGTGAAGAGCATCGGAGGAGACAATGAGAGTGAGAAACTGGGCATCGGGGCTGTTAACTTGACTCTAAAGGTTGTTGTTAGTTGCCGTCAAGTCAGTTCTGACTTAGAGTAACCCCATGTACAACAGAAAGACGCATGACCCGGTTCTTCGTTAGTGGTCTCCAAATTGTATTGACCAAACAAAAAACAATCGCTGCCATTGAATCCATTCCAATTCATTAACAACCCACCCCCTCTTGTAGGATAAAATAGAACTGTCCCTATGGATTTCCAAAGCTCTAAATCTTTACAGGAGTGGAAAGCCTCAATTTCCTACCCCCTGAGTGGCTGGTGGGTTTGAACTGCTGACCTTGCAGTTAACAGTACAACGTGGAACCCATGATGCCACCAGGATGCTACTTTTATTGGCCAAGCCACAGTACTAAAACTTTCAAGCTCTCTGTTCCAGTTATAAATAACAACATGATAAAGGAAGAAATTATTCAAGTTTCAAGGGTATTATTTTGCTTGGGGTATATGCAATCATTGCCCCAGGCAGCAGCCAAGAAATAAAATGACCATGAGATGGTCCAAGAAGGTGACATAGGTGCCTGCCTCATACTGTCCCTCTTACAAGAAAGACCCAAGAAATCAAAGGACTCAGATGTTAGTACCAGCTTTGGAACTTTGATTATCAAAGGCAAGGCTGAAGAATTGGACCAAGTCACAAGTAGAAGGACAGACTGTACAAAAAAGAGTGGACATAGGCATGATTCATGGATCCAGGGTACCCTGCCAGCCGAACCTGCACTGTATGGCCACATTGAGAGAAAACATGATTTTGCACCCATATCTAGGGCCAGGCAAGATTGCTCATATCGACTCTGTAGGACCAAGTAGAGCAAGTGAGGTACTCACCTCATCCTATGTGCCCCTCTAGCCGCCTAGGATGGAGGCCTGAAGACCTCTAGTGCCCTGTGGTTACCCATCCCACAGCTCACACGTGCTTGCAATCTGGTGGTACCCAGCACCTGCTCACTTCTGAGTCAAGGGTTCGTAGACCTGTAGTACCCACACATTTACTCAGTCACTCATACCAAGGAGCTGCAGACTGAGTGACTCTACCCTCTGGACAGCCACTGTCACTGGGAACTTGTGAATTCACACCAGCTTCTATCCTCCAGCCACCCATACCAGGTACCCACCGACCAGTGGTGCCTCCTACCTTCTCCAGCACCTGTGCCTCCAGGGGCAGAGGACCCACAGCACACCCTTCCCTCAGTCATGCCCTAGCAGATAGACATGCCCTCCTAGTGAGTACCTGTGGATTGGCACATCCCCCACACACAAAAGAGGCTACCCCCCTACACCCTCTGTGCAGCGGGAAACATATGCTTGCTCCAACCATCCTCGCACAGTCCTACCCCCCCAAGACTATTGGTGAGAGTTTCTGTGCCACCAAATCATTAATTGGTAACCCAGTTTCCCAGAAACCAGCAGTGCACACACAACACCCAACGTAGGGCCATTGGGAATATTCCCTGCATTCACATCCAGGAGACCAGCCAGCTAAATCACCGCCTCGGAACACCAACTACATCTTCAGCAGCCTTGTAAAACCAGTGTCCTCGGACCTATGCTGACACACACCCAGCCACTACCCCACCCACTGGAGAGCTCCAGCGCAGCTAGATTAGCAACCAGAGCAGCACACCTACCTGCCTATTTGGATATAACAAAACAAAACAAATTTAAAAATCAGGGTGCAGTAAACAAGCATACAATAAATACAAAAACACCTTCATGTCTCAGAAATACCAGACAACATCAAAACACATAAGGAAGCAGGACAAAGTGACTTTAGCGAGTGACCAAAGTAAAGAACCAGAAAACCTTTTGGAGGAAGAAATGGTAATGAAACTACCTGACACAAGGTTCTTCTAAGATATCAAGGAAAACGTGGGGGGCTGGAGGGAGGCGGGGTGCAAGGACAACACAGACAAAGCTGTAGGAAAATAATATGAGAACAGAATGACAAAATAAAAAGAAACCACGCAAAACAGTAACTGGAAATAAAAAAGATTAGCAATAAAATTTCAGAATTAGACAGTGGTCTAGGACATAGGTACAGAATTAAAGCCAGGGAATATAAAACCACTGAAATAGAGGAGGAAATCTCTAGGAAGCCTAAGAATTATGTAGGGCTGCTAACCACAGAGTCAGCAATTTGAAACCACCAGCCGCTCCTTGGGATAAAGAGAAGCTTTCTACTTCTGTAAAGAGTGACCATCTCAGAAACTCCCACAGGCAGTTCTCCGCTGTCCTGTAGGGTTCCTATCAGTCAGCATTGACTTGATGGCAGTGACTGGTTTGGGAAGAATTAGGTGGGATACTATTACCGACTCGAGTATAATCCGGCCCAAATATCAGCCGAGGCACCTAATTTTACCACAAAAACTGCATTAAAAATGTGCTGAAATACTCTGCTTATACACGAGTATATACGATAAGAAGAAAAGTTTATATGTCATCAGAATTCCAGAACAAACCCATAAAACACCACTCCTGTCTAGTAGATTCTAACTCACTGCAAGCCTATAGGACAGTGTGCAACTACTCCGCAGGGTTTGCAAGGCTGTGAGTCGTTATGGAAGCAGACTGCCCCTCAATCTTCAACAGAATGGCTGGAGGATTTCAACCACTGACCTTTCTGTTAGCAACTGAAAGCTTGAACCACCGTGCCACCAAGACTGCATGGCAGAGCCCAACTGAACTGCCATTGAGCCCATTCAAACTCATAGCAACTCTATAGGACAGAGCAAGTGTGCCCCTTCGGGTTTCTGAGATGGTGAATCTGCAGAAGGGGATAGCCTCATCTTTCTCCCGTCAAGCAGCTCATCTTGTGGTTAGCAACCCCAATGCATCGCCCAGTACGCCATCAAACGCAAAACCAAGCTCTCTGCCCCAAGTCAATCCCAACTCGCAGCAACTCTATAGAACCTAGCAGAACTGCCCCGTGGGTTTCTGAGGCGATAAATCTTTACAGGAGCCAAAAACCTCATCTTTCTCCTGCAGAGTGGCTAGTGGGTTGGAACTACTGACTTTGCTGTTAGCAGCGCTGCATGTAACTCACTATACTACTTAAGTTCCAGAAAGAAGCAAACACAAAACACCCCAGGGAAACTAGTTGAAAATTTGCTCATAGAAAACTTTCCTGATTCCATGAAATAGGAGAAGTTGAATGAACCCCACTCAGGATAGATTTTAATAGCGTGAGGATAACAGATGATATCAAATCACATAAAGAAGCCTGGCAAGATGGTGCCAGCAAAAAATTCAACAGATAGCACTAGAAAACCTACTGGAGGAAAAATAGCTTTGGAATTACATAAGGAATTCAGAAGACTAACGTGGAGATGGGAATTTCAAGAAAAATGTGAGGGTCGGGGCCTTCTTGAAAAAACACTTTTCTTTTCCCCTAGCAATTATGTTCTAGCTCAACTCTTTCATTTTACTTTCTTTTTAACAGCTTTATTGGCATGTAATTTACTTATACAATTCGACAGTTCAGTCATTCAGTCATCTCAAGGAGAATCGCATGATCATAACATCAGTTGTAGAACAGGACATATGGAAACCTGTGGGGGAGGTGGGAAACCTCGTAAGGAAAAACAATGACCAACCAAGAGTACGCACCCAACAAAATTGTCGCTGAGATACCGTGGCACAATTAAGATATTTTCCAGATAAAGGAATTTGTAAGAACCAGAGCGACCTTTGTGAAATGGCTTAGGGGACCATAGCTGGCCTTCTGGCTACATGATTGTCAACTCCTCACCAGCCCAAGGCCCTTTGCCACTGGGCAGAGGTCAGACATGCCTCCACTTTCCATCCGTCTTTGCCCTATTCAGACACTAAACATTCTGCCCACGCCACTCAACTTTTCTGTACTGGACACCCAGAACTCACGGACAAAAAATCACAATTAAGAGGGTTTATTAGGGAAGTTAACAGGTCACCACACTTCAGGATCAGGAAACAGTACATATGCAGTCATCGGTCGACAGCAGTGCCATATTTCAGTCAGCAACCAAGTTTCTCTCTGGTCCTCAACTTCTCAGCCACTTGTCCCCTGGGCTCCATGCCTCTGGTCTTGGCCTCTACTTCAGGCCAGGCTTTCAGATGTATTCTGCTGGGGACTCTTCTCCTTTGATGGTCTTGGGAATTCTCTACTTTCTGTTTTCTCTTATGTGGAAGTGTGATTTTTGTCTTTTAGCAGAACATACCCACCCTGTGGAAACAAAGCTTGATGACTTGGGTTGCACTCTCTAGTAAAGTGGAGACTCAGACTACATCTCACCTTAATCTTGTCCATCAGCACATCAGAGTACTCTCTCCAAAAGGGTATTGTAACCACAGGCACAAGAAAAAGATGTTACAGCACATCACAAAAGGGATTATGGATAGAAGAGCCACCATATTAAGAAATGTCCCTTTACCAAACCTTAAAAGAAATATAAGAGGGAGTCCTTCGGTCAGAGAAACAAATTAGGCAACAACCTGAGTTTAGAACATAGGGCAACATTAGCCAGACACCACCTCAGATAAAGAATTCTCAAAGATGAACCAAAACGAAAAGACTGAAAGCAAGGAACCAGAGATGTTTATATGTAAGTGACAATGTCGAAACAAAAAGGGAGCAATGGTAGAGTTATAGAACTTGCATATGGAGAGGAAAAAATGTGATCAAGAAATAAAAGACTGCTGCTGAAATTGATTTGGTGATGATTGCACAAATCTTAATATGATTGAATGATTAAATTGTATCATATAGGAGGTACATGCCCCCCAAAATTATTAAACAATGAGTTCAAGAA